CATTCAGTTAACTTTATTAATGCTTTTTGTCTTTTTTTTTTTTTTTTCTAAAATCTCTGTAAAGGAACATCACAGTCTGTGAATTCCAGGACATAAATATGTACATATACAAATTAACTGCTAATTATGATGTGCATAAAAAACCTGACAAACCAGTATATTGAAAAAAGTAATTTTATGGGTTGTTACTTGCTTGAAGAGCATTATTAAGGTATGAAACTGAGATGTTAAGTGAAGTTAGAAGGAAAATTCTCACCCAAAACGAGTAATACAGAGTCTTACCTCTTAAGGTGAGACAGGGTTTTGGTGTGAAGGTCCACATGAACTGGGGGTGTTTATATTAAAAGTATTGTTATAGTCTGGCTTTTCTTCAGCAGTTGATTGTGGCAGTGAAGGACAGAAATGTCATCTTTGGACTGTTTCCTAATTTCATTCTCTTAATGAAAATTCAGTAAATTTGCTAATAATATTGCTGCTGTTGGTGAAAATTTTACAAGATTTTTCAGTATATGTGGAAAAGTACCTTCAGCATGTATGTCTAATGGTCTTAGGAAGAAGGTAATTAAAACCACATACTTCATAGTGAACAATGTCATTCTAAATCGGAAAACTTTCATATGTCTTTGATTCTTTTACCATTACCTGTTTTTCCCTGAAATCTGCTATAATTTATGGGAAAACACTAGTCTTTTGTAGAATGACATGGAACTGGGATTTTATAATCTTTCTAAGTAGTATTAAAACGATTTCCCACAATTGTTGTTTCCTTTAGGATGATTAAATGTCCTTATCGTTACCATATTACATATGCATACCAATTGTCTGTAATAACTTGGTTGGCCATCAATGCCTTTTATGGAATTTTTTTTGTTTAGTTGTAGTCTCACCTTTCATGTGGATCATACATCGTGCCCACATTTTTGACCAATGTGTATTTCTGTTTATATGTTTATATGTCTATGTGTGGTACTGATTTTTAGTTTGAGGATCACTGAATGTGTGGTAAGACTAATTATTTTAACTGTTTCTTTTGACTCAAATCTTAAAAAAATTATTGTACTTCAAAGTGGCTAACATTTGGTTTCTGTTTAGAATGAAGTTTTGAGCCAACCTTTTCTTTTTCCCCTTCTCTCTCTTCCCCCTCTCTCCTCCCCCAACCTGCCTGCCTAATACCTGAGCCATTTAACCGTGTGATTAATGTAAAATAAAGATCACCCAGGATTTCACTGTCTGTAAGATGAATTATACTCTCCAAACATAAGTAGTTGGAGACTTGCTCTTCACATGTGGTGGGTTTCTTTTTTCCCTCTGAGTGCACTGTCTGATCTATACATGAGGGACTAGTGAGACTAACACTGTTCCCTGCAAGGTTCTGGTTTGATGATAGTTTTATTTTTAGGGCATTGTTATTGATATTGGCTAGAATTACTCACAGCCTTTAATCAAATGGAAGAAGTGATAAAGACATCTTTACGATAAGCTTGTATGTGATAAGCATGAGAAATATGGAAAAAGATTAAAGACCTAGTATCTTGGCCTCAGAGAAAAGAGTCTTTGTCCTGTTAAAAATAAAGTTGACCAGATGTGCTCACTTAGGCATGGCAGCTCTCATTTTCTCATCAAACACATCACTGGTTAGGCTTTTAAAATCAAAACCTTAATCTTTACTTTTGAATTGGAGTTCCCATAATGATTTTTACATTACTGTGTGACCAAGTTATGGAGGGTACTTCAGCTTGTACCTTTTTTCTGTAGGTGTATAGCCAAAACAAGATGGCAACTAAATATGCCCTACAATTCCTCACTGAATCAGGGCATCAAGAGACAAAGTTTGTCCCTTGCTGACCTGCTCCTGTGCATGAACATCTTTGTCATTGCACTGAAGTGAGGCAGGTGGGGAAAAAAAGAAACAACAAACAGCTGTAGGTGAAATCGTCCTATCATTCAACCCGTAAAAATCACTCAGTCTCTACATCTATTGCTCTGAAAGTGCCTAAGGAGTTAAAAAAGCCAAACTTATAAAAAATAAAGAAAAAAATCAAGTGAAATACCAACCAGGCCACCTGTCCCTGCAGCACTCACCCACTGGGCTGCATATGAGGATGAGGTTTGCCAGAAGCAGCAGCATCTGGCAGGGAGGATTCTTCATTTGCACATTCAAGGTTCGTGCGGTTAACCAAGCTCTTCTGCTTCGGGTCAGACACAGCTTGTGGGAGCATTTTCTCATTAGCTTTTACAGTTTAGAGGAGACTGAACATATTGGTCCACAGGACTGCTGAGAGGTTAAATTTGAGACAGGGATTTTAATAGGAATATTTGCATACAACTGTGTGCTCTGGAATAAAGACTTATTTTTCATTCACCCAGGCAACTGACTGTGTATGTTCCTTCTCTAAGTAGAGAGAAGAAAAGGAAAGTTTTAAGAACTATATGTCAGGACAGCAGAAGCATCTGGGCATATACTAAAATAAAAATTTTGGTTATGTACCAGGCACTTATTCCATTACTTTGACTGTATTATGCTGACACTCAGTGAATTCCCATCATCTTCTGCATTTTCGAAGCAGAACAATACCCTAGGAGAATATATATTATTAAGTATTTTTCCCCTGGTTTTTTTTAGTATGACCATTCTCTGCTTTTGAATGCTCTTTAGGGGAAGTAAAGCTATCTTTCAAATGCCTTTTTCCATAGGGTACAACAGTTCTTTCTTGTCTATCAGGAAACCTTACTGGCTTTTGCTGGAAGAGTGTAATGAAAGAGCTGTTTATGTTTTACAGGTTCTTAAAAAATAATTTTATTACTGTCAAGTGGAACCACTTTAAATGTTTTCATGTCCTAAATGGGAGTTATCAGTGTTGACAGATACCTTAAAGGGGTGGAGAAAATAGTAAATAGTCTTTTAAACTGGAAGATTATGTGTGTATCCATGCACCTAACAGCTCTGATATGTATAGTTTGTCTTCAAATCAGTAGGAACAGCCACATGGCTGCATCATCTAACCTGATGAAAATCCTATTCAATTTTTTGCCATTCTGCCCCAAGATTATGGAGGGGAGAGATAGGGAGAAGGTTTTATGAGTCCTTCAGCAATATTTCACACCCCTCATTCCCAAATGATGGTGGATGAACTGGTGACGGTCTGTGATGCCACAGGCCATGCTCATTTCTGTGAATCAGCATTGGAAGGGCTCCACTGGTGTACTTTAGGTCCCTCCCATCCCTCAGATGGTCACAGAGCCACAGTCTTTTCCCTTCACTGGGCCTTGCTGTGCAAAATGCATCCTTTGTTGCATGGCAGGTTGCTTGGGCTGCTCAGTCCCAGTCCCATGTCTGTGTGATGGTTTGCAAAAAAGGCATCACACACCTATGTCCAGTAACTGGCTTGACTTCTTGAGACCCTTGTATGGTTAGGAACAGGGATCAGTAAAGATGAATGGTATCTTTGGTAGTCATTCAAGTACAGCAGAAAACTCCTAGGGGGCAGATGAAGTTTGTCTGGCCTCTGCTGCCTAATGACCCTTTTTCTGGAGAAAAAAGTCAGCTTGACTTTTCAGTGTCAAGCTGAATTTGTAGTTGTGTCTCTTTGTTTAAACATTGACTTTCAATTTATTACTTAAGGGATCCAGCCTTAAATTAGTGATGGGTCATTATTTGCCCTTCCTAATGGTAAACTGAACTGTGCACACAAACATATCAGAAACAGCTGAGGGTAAAATGCTTTCTACTCTGCCAGCCCAGCACTTTATGCTGGTGTCACTTTGATTAACATAAACTGTCAATGGCCATGGCAGCTAGAGAAAAGTTTGTCTTTTTTACCTGGAAACTCAGCAAGACAGTTGTTATTGCTTTGGTACGGCAGTAGGATGGAAAACGGATAGTCTGTGATGCCCCGTGCTGGGTGCTGTGTGAGCACAAACCAGAAGGTCTGTTTCCATTTCCTGGTGCTTGGAGCAGAGGGCTCTGCCCTCCTTGGCCACAGACCATTTTCAGGCAGGCAGCAGACATCCTCCACAAATGTTCAGGCAGGGCTCCTAAGAGCCTGTGCTGACTCAAGCGAAAATCCAGCTCAGTGTTAAGCACAAGTAAATAGACAGGGCCCTCTGGAGACACAACCATACTGTTTCCACTTCTTATCAGGCTTCCTTAACACTAGGGATATCAATAGGCAATAATAGAAACCTATCCAATAGTTTTTTCCCCTTGTAGGATCTGTATCTCATTAAATTTTGTGGGTTGAAGAATATATCCACTAAATACCTCGTGGATTAAGCCCACAAAAGTAAGTATGATAGTCTCGGTTTACAAGCTAAGCAATTCCCCAGGTAATCCTTTTGCTTTTTTTCTCCATCACTTGCTGAAATGGAGCTACATGTAACTAGAAGGGAGCCATGTGGGAATAAAAGCATCCAAACAGTGAAACATGGTGCTGTTAGGAGCATGGAGGTTGGGCTGGAGGACCTAAACAAACCTCATTTACTGTTTAGATAACAGACTGCTTATATTGCTGTGTGCATTCAACATTTTCCAGCAGAGTTATGAGTTTTCTGGCTGATGCACATTTTCTGTTGTTGCATAAAGGATTGTGATATAAAATCAAGATGAAGCCAAGCTGGTGGAGTTTCATTCACTGCTGAGATGTTTCTTCTGATGTGTAACTATCCTCCAAAATTGATCCTCTATGCTTATCTAAGTCACATATACCACTTATGACCTCCCCTTCAGCCCCCACATTTACATGTGAGAGTGATATCATTCTACAGTCAGTAATGTTTTCAGATTCTGTTTTTCTTTGGCCTCCTTATATTTACTCGTTTGTTTCCTTATAACGTCATGGTTGTGCTTGGAAACATGTTTGGCTACATGGGAAGAGTATCCATTGCAATTTATGCTTCCTGACCTTTGGTGAAGCTAAAATAAATTGCTTTTTGGAAAGAAACCAGAGGCTCTCCTCTCTGTTCCTTTCAAAGAAATCTGACCTTACAGTTGTTTCTTGTGGGGACAGTAGAAGCTTCTTTGAGCCAGAAAAAAGGAAGCAGGAAAGGGTAAAATTTTCCTATGCTGTTTTTTGTTGGTTTTTTTTTTTTTTTTTTTTTTTTTTTCTTTTTTGTTTTTTTTTTTTTTTTTTTTTTTAAATATAATTCAGATAGTCCTTGATGGACACAGGGTTTTTCAAATCTTTTCTCTTATTGACAGGGCTGCTTTGCCTGTCATGCTTTATCCACTTAACTCCATGTTGCTTTAACTGAGTATCTGGCACCCCCCAGCCACTGTACATGTGTTCCCTCTCCTGGAACCAGGACGTGGCTGCTGCTGTTCCCTCTAATGCATAGCCAGAAAGGATGAGAAGCCGTGCACAGATTGGACAGAGCTAATGAAGTAAGTGTCTGCAAGCCCCTCACACAGCCTTGCATGAATTCTTGGGGATATTCTTCCAGCTGCAGGGGTCATGGGCTGGGAGTCGAGCAGCAAGTGCTGGACAGGTATTGCATAGGAAATAGAGGAAATAAATTCTGCCAGCTGATGAGGGGTCATCAGTCTGGCACTTTTATGGTCTCGTGATCACAGAGAGGCAAGCACGGCATCAGCTTGCAGCCTGTGCTGCTCAGGGGAATTCCTGGAGCCTGGAGGTTCAGGTGCTGTCAGTGTAGGCCTAGAAGTCCCAGATAAGCTCTGCTGTCCTCTCTGGGCATCTGATTTCAGCTGCAGCTTTTCCCAGAGAGTGCTCAGCTCTGTTCAGCAGGGATGAAAGTCAGCTGACTTACATATGTAACATTTTTTTTTTCCTCAGACTAGGCATGTGTGTTTGGAAGAAAATGGCAGGCTTAGGAGAGCAGTGACCATGAAATTCTCAATCTTAACCATGTGCCTGTCTATGTCTTATCAAAGTCAGAGGCTCAATGTTGTGTAGAGTATTTTTAAATTACTCTCTAAAGTGAATAAGTAATGAACCATCCTGCACGTTGTTAGGGAAAACCATGCCATTGGTGGAGATCAGGAAAAGTTCCTTTCTGACAATTCTTTTTAACAATGGGATACAATTTTTTTTTAAATTTGGGGAACAGTTAGGGGCAAAGGGAGGAATACCCCTCCCTTTGGTTAACCTTGCTCGGGAAATGTGAATCACTGAACTAAATAAAGTTTGTAAAAGATGCTCTGAAAATACTATGCTACGCCCTATAATTCAGCCAAGAATGAAGGAGGCGGGAAAAGAAAACATCAAAAGTCCCTGGTTTTTTTATATTGCTTCCTGGCACATTTCTCTTCCCCCACTTCCCCCTCCCCCCTTCCCATCTTCTTTCTGGTTTTGTTTTGTTTCATCTCTTTTTTTCCCCCCTCCCCCTCTCTTTTTAAAAAGAAATCCTTTTCAATTTGTAAAGCTGGTACCATAACTTTAACAACAATCTTGTTGTCTACAGATGACAACAATGAGAAATGCCAAAGGAGAAGTGAGTCCTGTAGGGACCGGAGGACAACAAAGACAGTTTTCAACATTTTTATTAGGACCTCATGATGTACACATGAAAAATTAAGTTCAGAATATTAATTGCTCTTCAGATGGCGCCGTTTAAGTCTGGAGGATGTTAACATTCCTGCTGCATGAGAAAGGTCCCCCATCCCCTGTGTTGATACTCATCCTGCTCAAAGGGGCAGTAACATCTAAGGACAAACAGGCTGGGCACCAAATCTTGCTTGAAAGCTACTTTCACAGATTTATCTTGTGATTCCCTAGCACCCCCTTGCCAGGATCAGTTTGCCCTTGAGGGCTAGGCTGCCTAGCTCTAGCTCTTTGCAGTGCCCCAGCTGCTTCATTTCCACACATTTGAATGTATGCTTTGGCAGAGAGGATTATTAGTGGTAGAGGAGAAAAGGCAGCAGGGAAGTACCTGTCCCTGAAGTGTGGGAGTTTTGATGCTGTTTGAACAGCCGCTCGTGTGTGACATCATGGGGAAAGAGTGTAGACTGTTTGTATGGACAAATCCAGCTGTGGTACCCCTGTGCTGGCCTGTGTGGATGCTGGGAGCTGGCAGTGGCATGTAGTGGCAGGGTGACAGCAGGCATTGGGAGGCCTTGGGCTTGTTCCCCCAGCGCTTGGGGCAGCTGAGTTGTGAAACCCATCCCTTCAGTGTCTGGCATTCAGCCTTACCTGTTTAACAGAAGTTTAGCAGGGGGAGCACGGATGGCTCACTTGAACGGTGTTCCTCTGGAGCATGCCTGAATCTGCCTTACTCTCCTAACTGTGAAGAAAGCAACAAAAGAAACTGAACTCATTTTCCTCTCCTTTCTAAAAAGCCATACTGCTGGGGGGACCACTGCTGCTCTGCCCTGTCCCTGACCCTGATGGATGCCCTCTGGGTAGCTCAGAGAGGTTGGGACTTGGAGCTGTGCAGCTGCCTGGGCTTTGCAGGGAGGTGGCAGCTCTCACTGCCAGGGAGGCACAAAACCAGCTTGTCGCTTTTCCGTCTCTGTTTTGCTGCCTGACCCCTTGCCCCGCCTCGTAAAACAAACGCGCGCAACCTGGCTTCCAGGTGCTTTTCCTGCTTAAACGCCCATGGCAGCAGATGCAGCCAGGGGAGGGCTGGGGCCTGTGGCGGGAAGGGAAGGGAAGGGAAGGGAAGGGAAGGGAAGGGAAGGGAAGGGAGTTTTCTCCCCAGGCTGCCAAGCTCTGCAGCCGCTATTTAGCCTGAGGGCTACACCAGCATGTGTGCAGCTCAGGCAGTCCCCATGGAGCACTAATGACCTTTGGGTCTGTAGCTTCCCTGTCCCCAGACCTGGTGCTTTTCCATCTGGTTCCTGGTATTCCCTTAAATCCCTGCTGGCTGTTTAATAGCAGTCAGGGAGTTTCAATGAAGCTGAGGTCAGTTTGACTCACTAAATGCCACTGCTTCTAAACTGGAACCAGACTGAGTTGAGGGTTGTGTTTCTGCTGGGGGGAGCAATGACAAAGTGTCCTCTTGACTCTTCACCAGATGTTGATCACGAACCCACAGCCTGAGCAGCTCCAGGTTTACTTTGTGTGAGGGTCAGTCTCTGCAGTACATTTATGAACATGCCCCTGAGTGGACTGCTTTTCTTTAGCTGTGGTTTTTATGTCAAAGTCCTTATATATTTTGTGGGTTTTTTTGTGTTTGTGAGTACTCATTGTTTGTGTGTACCTGAAGTTGCCTGATGTGCCCAGCCTCTGAATCACCCTCTCTCTGTGAGGAATATATCTGAGCACTCAGTAGCCCAGCATGAGAAACGAAACTTCTATATGTCTTTAAGGTCAGTGAAAGCAGAAAACATGATTTCTGACAATTGCTTGGCTTCCCGATCTGCTGGTAGCACCAAGAAGCTGTGGCCAGTTAAGTACTACTGAAGCAAGCCCCGAGCCTGGCTGTGCTTCATTCTGTGGCTCTGGCTCCCTTGTGCTGTCAAGGAGCAGAGCCTTATGCCAGGAGAGCTGCCTCAGACACTGCGGAGCAGCAGGGCGCTGCTCTTGGTCTGTGGAGAGAAGGCTCGAAGCTGCCCTTCAATGCCAAGCTGGAGTGCTCTGCTGAAGAAGTGATTATGTTGCCCTTCTAACCCCTCACCCTTTTTCTATTTTTTCTTCCTCTCTTCTTAAGAAAGTAATGGGGGAAAGTTTGTGAGAGAATAGTGTTTGCTGATCTTGTGCAAAGCACGGTGACAAATGATGGCTGGAGAAGCATGACAAGGCATGTAAACTTCTGCTAATGGAAACCTGTGTGCCAGCTGAGTGTTTACTCAGGCCTGTCATTGTCAACAGAGACCCCTTTACAAGTATTGTTTGTAGTAGCAAGTGCACCATGAAGGAGAATGTGGCTTTGAATTCTATGTATTTGCCTCTTTGAAAGAAATAAAAAAAAAAAAAAAGCCATTACCTCATTTTGACATGGAATAATGGTAGTAACTAAATACCTGCTTGTATGTTTGCATATTTTGGATTTAATCAGCCTCCTTTCTATAAATCAAACTTCCTCTTAACTGCACTGTTCTCATTGGTACTGCTGAACATATGTTACTGTCCCAAGTGTATGCCTCCAGTTTGTCACCTGCATCTTTTGATATCCCTGGCTGAAGCAGGATCAAAAAAAGAAAGGGACAGCAGTGTCCCAGAGTTTTTTCTCTGCAAAGCAAGAGATAAAAGAGATTGTTGAGCAGACTGTCACACTTATTATTGTGGCTTTTCAGCAAAATGTTTCTCAAATAAACAAGCAATAGTGGAAGTTAATTTTGAATAGAATTCACTGATTTGCAGTTATCTATACAAAATACATACAAATTCTTAAACATGGCATAAACAAAGCACTAAATCTTATTTCAAAACTGCATTCGAATGTACTGTATCCATTCTGTAGAAGAAGAGAAATATCCAAGGAGTTTTGCTGATCTTTGACTGAATTTATCACATATACCCTTTTTCCCTTTAAAAAAAAAAAAAGAATAACCTACAGCTGTAAATTTTTGCCAGCCTTGTGGACCTATACAGATACCATTGAACAGGATATGAGTTGACTCAGACTGAGAGTTCAGAGAATCAGAAATAGGACTAGATAACTAGGGTAACAAACTTCATCTACATTCAGCAATTTAGAATAGCATCCAAGGTTTGCCTGTTGGATCTCCTGTGTTGCATCACGAAAAAAATCAGTGTGGGATGGCACACACTGGAAGTTTGGGATTGGTCTGTTTCTGATTCCACTCTGGCTTTCTGAGACTCCTAATTTCATCATGCCTCAGTGTCTTTTACTTTAAAAATGCCAAAAATCCACACTCAGCAGTACTTTTCTCAAAAATTTAATTGCTTTTAAATTCTTGGGGAGAGTTTTGGAGAGAAGATCCCCTTGAAGATCTGCATCTGCACAATGAAGCAGAGATTAGTTTAAATGGTGAATGTGGCCAATGCAGTGATCTTTGAGCTGAGAGAGGAGTCCTGACATAAATGTTGCCTCTTATTTTCTGGTTCACTGCTCTTCTACAGAGATTGCTGCTGTACCAGGATGCCAATAACATCCCTGCACATTTTGGTAGAGCTGATTTAGGGGCATGCCCAGATGTGTTTTGGGGTATGCTGGCTCACCACCCTCCCAAATGTAACTTAAATCCCAAAGCTGCAGCAGAAACTGTGGGGAGGCAGTGCTGCAGTCTGTTCTGTGAGATAAAGTTTTAATCTCTCCTGTTTCCCTTGGCACTCCTGCTAGCTGGGCACACAGGAAAAGCGTTCAAGTCATTTATGCATCTGGCCTTTTTGTATAGCCTTGGGAGTACCCTGCTTACCAGGCTCTGCACTCTAGTTCAATAGAAACAACACTCAGTTTGTGAACCTCTCAAGAGCTTAACTCCCTGTTACTTGGAAAAAATATCTGCATCAGGTTTTA